AGTCAGAGTAACGTCCGGTCCGGTCAGAGTAACATCCAGTCAAAGTAGCGTCCGGTCAGAGTAACGTCCAGTCAGAGTAACGTCCAGTTAGTTAGCTGGTTGTCCCGCTCGTTACATGGTTGAACTGGTTTTAAGATGCTCAGTGTGTTCTCCTCTGATGCAGAGTTTGTTTTAAAACATTCAAATTGTAAATGTGAATCTAAATTAAATTGTAAATGTGAATCTAAATGAAGCTCATGTATTTGTGGACAGTACTTTATGTCAGTGCAGTTTGTACTGAAATATTTGTTTGACAGTACTTTTTCAAGTGATGATGGAAACTGAAAGTTTTCCCAAAGGAAATCATTTCTTACATTCGTAGCATTCCTACGTTTATTCTAGGCAGATCAGAGTTCCCCACGATGGCACCCTGAATGATAAATGTATTAAAGTAAAGCAAAGATTCAAGGTCATAAACGTATTAAAGTAAACCAAATATTCAAGGTCATAAACTTAGTAAAGTAAAGCAAAGATTCAAGGTCACAAACTAAAAGTAAAGCAAATATTCAAGGTCACAAACTAAAAGTAGAGCAAAGATTCAAGGTCACAAACTAAAAGTAAAGCAAAGATTCAAGGTCATAAACTAAAAGTAAAGCAAAGATTCAAGGTCACAAACTAAAAGTAAAGCAAAGATTCAAGGTCATAAACTAAAAGTAAAGCAAATATTCAAGGTCATAAACTAAAAGTAAAGCAAAGATTCAAGGTCATAAACTAAAAGTAAAGCAAAGATTCAAGGTCATAAACATATTCCTGACGCTGCGTCGTTAAGGTTTGCTGCTGCAGCCATCTTGGCTCGACTCCCAGAGCGAATCATCTGGATGTTCATCAACCTGCTGACAGTCTCATTAAAGCTGACCAGTAGTTCAGGTGATATTTTGCTAACAGACACAGCCATTGGATGTAACATTTGGTTTGTCTTGATTACAAAGCGTGTGTGCTCCTGAAGTGTTGTGTCTGGGCCGTCTTGGTGCCGGACGCAGGATTTGTCGTGCCGGTTTTAATTTGTCGTTTGGTAAATGTCCTGGCGAGGCCATCTGCCTCGGTGATGGAGCTGCTGCCAGCGGAGCAGCGGTCCCGTATGCTCAGACTGTCCCTCGTGGTCGGAGAGGAGAACACCTGCAAACACACGACACGTTAGCTCCGTGGCTGTGACACTGGGTGTTACAGCCACTGTGGGCTTTCTATTGGTGGTTGTGGCAGCCATCTTGAATTACGTTGGATCCCAACGAGGATCAGCAGTTGTTGTAAATCCAGTGACGAGGATCAGCAGTTGTTGTAAATCCAGTGATTATTTCCTGAAAGTTAAATGAAATTCTGTCCCGTTGTTCATAAGATAATATGTTCAGCAGGCATCACACTGACACACACATTATCCCCTACGTCCAACTAATCCAGGTCAAAAATCCAACAAAGTTCAGGCAGGTCCTGTGGACAGTTTCTGCTTGTTGAGACGTTTCACCTTTCATCCCAGAGACTTCTTCAGTCCGAGGAGTCACAACAAACTTCACCGACTCATTTGAGTCGGCGGGGGAGAAGGCGTGCTCCAGAGACCACCTGAGCAGGTGCTGTTTATTCGAAGGGCTCCTCGGACTGAAGAAGTCTTTGGGATGAAAGATGAAACGTCTCAACACGAAGAAATCATCCAGAGGACCTGAGTGAACTTCTGCTGGATTACTGAGCATGAATCAGGAGACTGTCCCCTGCGTTTTGCAGATTATTATTATTTCTTTACATTCACGTCCGTTTCTGTGTAGAGTAATGGCGTGTTTGTTTTGCTGCGACCATGAGAAGATGAGACCATGAGCAGATGAGAAGATGAGACCATGAGAAGACGAGCAGATGAGAAGATGAGTAGATGAGAAGACGAGCAGATGAGAAGACGAGCAGATGAGAAGACGAGCAGATGAGAAGACGAGCAGATGAGAAGATGAGCAGATGA